CCTCCTTGCGTGCGGCGGTGCACCCCCCGCGGGCAGCGCTGCCCCTGCGCGGGGTCTCCAGGGTAGGTTGTCTGTCCGCGTCTGGCTCTTGTTACGACCTGTCACTTTGCCACTCAGGGGATTTCAGTTCGGGAAAATACAGTGTGAAATCGGGGTAAAATATATTGGGGTTTTTGCAAAGGTCCTGAGTGCATAGAGGTTCCTGGAGCGTCCAAGTAAACGGGGGAGAGCACCACTCTAGTGGCGCAGGCACAGCACGAGATGGATTTGAAGCGCCCTGGTCCCACCAGGAGGAATTACTGAGAGGGATTACCCGAGACCTGGCATCAAGGGCTCATCCCCTCACACACTCTGAGTAACCTGGTGATGTTGCTTAGTCTGGCATATGGGAAAATTTTTCTGACACAAGGGAGCTCATGGAAGCTTCTGTCACCGCACTGCCTGCGCAGGGGGATGCCCTCCGTCCAAAGAGCAGTTAAGAGATGCAAAGGAATCATCTAGCTGCACGTGGTTAGCCTACAATGGACAGGAATTTCCAATAAAACATTAAAATTGCTAACTGAAACTACAGCAGACATGGAGTTATCATGTGTGTGTATAAACACATATATGTACATGCATATAAGCCTGTATCTTTGGCAAGGTGCATTAAAACACTATGAAGTGATTCTTCCACCAGTCAGTACAAGCACCAGCATCCTTGTTTCTGTGCTTAAGCCGAATGCTCTGATTTAAACATTTTGTTGCAATTCATCTGCAACACCAAAGTCGGTGAGTTGCTAAAGCATCCTTGCATATTCTAAAGAGATTTTTTTTTTTTTTTTTTGTGCGTGTCCGTGGCTCTTTCCTGTCAGCTGTGGCTCTGCAAGTGCTCTGGTGCACCGTGCAAGCTCATTTCTTGAGCAATGTAATAAGAGCATGAAGGAAATTTCTGCCTGGGAGCCAGCCAGTGTGGGAGGCTGAAATTACCTTTCGCGGTCTGGTGCTGCTGACTGGCCTGTCCATGGAGTCCTGAATAATCTCTCTGAGCAGTCATTATAGGTCTTGTAATTAAGTGATGTCTTCTCCTTTAGCATTTAATTTCTACTAGTTTATATATGAATTGTTCTATGTCCATGGATGTACACATTCCTTATTGGGGAGCCAGTTTCTAGTACACTCTTGTACCTCTTCCTTTTGTTCTGGATTGCTTCGATAAATAAAACCAAAAGGACAACGAGGTTGCCCAGCACTTGGCTGCCAGGCTCTGAATTTAGCCAAATATGCTTTTCCCCTCTCTTAATTGTTTTCTGCTTTTTGTCCAAAGATATTTTGTGTGCTTGCAGCATTAGCTGTAAAGAACAAAAGTGTACAATGTGGTTTGTACACAATTATTTAGAAAAAAAAAAAAAGGGTTTTATACTTTTCGTTATAACTCTTAAATGAAGAGCTATTTGTGAAAGGTCTGATTCTCCTCATTATGGCACTTCCAGCATTTTATAATGAGCTCTCTAACACCTTGCACTACTCCTTGGCAACACTGCAAACTCTCCTCATGAGACAGAAATAGCTATTCAAGAGGCAGTCATGCCTTTGGTGCCTTCTTTAATTTCTTTTCTAGCTATTATCTTATTCTGTACTTTTTCCTCCAGAGGGCAGTAATTACATGACTGTAGAAAGAAAAAGAAAAAAATAGAGAAGAGCATTTTAAAGAAAAAGGAATAGGCATGAACACGGTCCTAGGTGAATTGTTTCATAGTCTGGTGCTAGGAGGACCAGTGGAGCCTACTACAGGAAGGACTTTTGCAGGAACAAGCTCCATGTTGGCTTTAGGAATCCTGAACACTGCTGCTCTGGGAGGGCGATTCCTTGTTTCCACTTTTGTTCTTTATTGGGATTGTCACTTGCCACTTACCTGCTTTTTGTTCACCTCTGATCTGTTGGCTGAGATGGGACAGCAAAGCAAGTGGCTTCTGCTGAAGAATTCAGAATAAAAAGCAGCCCTGTCTCTGTGGATCAACCAACAGATACTTAAAAGAAAAAAAGTGACAGATTTTCTGTGTGAGCCAACATATTTGTGTGGAGAGCTACTGAACAAACTGGACTAGGAGTAGCAATTCCACACATGAAAATTGTAGTGTTAAATCATGAGGGGTAACCATTTTTTTCTAACCACAAAATAGGTTTTATGTTTCAAAAACCTTCTTTCTTCTTTTCTTGATTTCTCATAATTTTAGCAGGCATCAAGAAGATAATGTTACAAGGGAAACTATTAGATGAACAATGCGCTAGCAGCATGGCATTAGTTTGCCTTTAGAAATACCTTTCCAAGGCTGCAGAGGGCTTGCCTGACATAAATTAAGCCTCTCAAAACGCCTGTCAGAACAAAACTGAGCATTCCATTATCCTCTGGGACTTTGTAACTTCTACCACAGAAAAATTTTCTTGGATGCTGCTGCTAAGCGCTGTTGAGACTTCAATACTTTGGAGTAAGGGAATGTCAGCTCCCTGGGATTTTGCACCATATAAGCAGGATTAGATAAAATGTGGGTGAAAAAAAGTCTTCAGTGTGAGTGGCAGCTAAGATGTCTCCATGTTTACCCTTATTTATCCACTGAGATGGTATCATAAAAATAAAATAAAGACGCTGTAATGTGTCACATCCTTTTCCTACTCTTCTGCAGTGCTACTCTGTGAAATCTCAATCTCATTTACAATGCAAAATTGTGGCACTTATATTTGGCACAATTATGGTACTTTGAGATCAAATACAGTCTTCTAATAGTGATACGGTGCGTTTTTGCTCCCTTGTATTCCTTTCCAGATAAGTTTGTGTCTAAATCATGGTCGCAAATCCCAGATCCACTTATAAAAGCAAGAGTAACCTCATTGTTCTTTATTTCTCCTCCTGCCATTAGGATTCAGGATCTCCCTCAGCCGCTGGTAAAGCCACTTCCAGCGTGAGTTACCTGCATGAGCTCAGCCCCTCTGCTCCTTGCAGGCTACAGTTAACCTGGCTCTGATTTCCTTGCCTTTAGCCCTAATGGACTTGTGCTGTCTCAGGGTAAAAGCACATCAATATTTCCACAGCTGTTTTTTATTTGAAGTCGCCCAGGGAAAAGCATTGCCTAAAGGAAGAGATGCTTCCCCTCAGTTTATTATTATTATTATTATTTATTTCTTCATCTTCAGAAGGCCGTGATGGAGCTCATGTGTTTTATCTGCATAACTGCATATCCTACCCTCCCCACCTTTATGGAGCTCATGGCTCCGTATCACCTGTGGTCACCCTTTATTGACCTTAACTACTGTACAAAGTAATAGCAGGCAGATGTTGTGAACACTGCCCTGTGGAACACCATTTAAAAAACAAGAACACCAGTTCTGCCCTCTTTCCTTCTCTGTGTTGCAGTGCTAAAATAGAATTAACACATTAAAAATACCACATAGCGCATGAAAGCACTGAAATCTCTGTTTCTAGGAAATAAAGTCCTTTAAAAATGTATTCCCAATTAATCAAGCAGGCTAAATAGAAGGGAAAGCAGAAATCAACAGAAATTCTCAAATGCAGCAATTTCTTCTAAAAGGGAAACAAAAACGGATGTGAAGTAAAAAGTTGCTATAAAAGGAATACCAATGAGAAAAATCACTGTAGCCCCCCTTTGGCCCATTGACATTCTACCTGCTTGGCAATTAACAAGTCCTGGCATGATTGCCACAATAAACTGATAGGGCAGGGCTAAGTAGTTGTCCAGCCACATCAGGATAATTGAGTGTTAACAAGGTACATCAGTAAAACATTGTGCATGTAAGCATGCATATTTTATTGGGAAAGCTCACAGTGAATCAAGGAACAATGTGACAGTGGGTGAAATATGTGAAACGAAGACACTGAGTCAAGTTCTTATGGCTCTGAGCTGCAGTGAGAGACTTTAATGGTGTTTACTCACCAAATTTGGAGGAATAAGGTACAGATGAACTGGTGTGTCTGCAGGATTTGGGAAATAATCTGCATTAAATACCAATACTGCATCACAAAGTTGCCCTCTCCTAGATCCTTCAATGTTTTTGAGGGATTTGGGCTCATGGGCCCTGGGCACCACTGCAATGTACTATGGTTTGAAGTGAGACAGTCTAAGGAATAGGAAATGAATTGGATGGTAGTTTATTTTTTAAAGACATTGAAGGAGATGCCAAGAGACACAAGCAGTAGCAATAAATCACAACATAAAGAAAATGTTTTAACAAATTTTATATTTAAATATTAAAGCTTTACAGTATTGTATGATTAAAAGAGAAATAAGTTTTTGAGAAATACACCTTTGGTATATAATTTTCCTTCTGCACTTAATCAATAACAAGCAGTATCTACAGTAAGGCTATGTTGCATTAAAAAAGGTAAAAAAAAATAGAAGAGGCTTAAGAGTTACATAAAAATTTCCATGTTAGCCATGTATGTTTGATTTATTTACTATTACATTTCACCCAAGTATTTGTTTTCAACCACATCTTTGGTAGCAAAAAAAAAAAAAAGGCAGCATTCAAAAAGGAAAGTACATGGATAATTCCATAATAATTAGTCTTTCAGATGGAGAAATATCTCCCTTTATTATAAAAAGAAAAATCTCAATTTTATTATGAAATAATCAACATTTATTTACAATTAATTTACATTTTTTAAAAAATATGAACAATACAACTGTACTTTTAAAATGCTTCATATGTTTTTATTACTTATCTGCCTGCACAAAAGAAGCAAAGACGCTATCTTCTTGCTCTAGCAAAACCTCAGGCTTGTCATATTCCAAAATAAGTCCTCTCTTCATTACAATGACCAAATCTGAATTCAGGATTGTGTGCACACGGTGCTGAAAAACAAATAAACAAAATGCCAATTCAGTATGTCTATCAAATGTATTATAGTATGAGGTCGACTTCCAAAAATTAACTTCCTAATAAGTTCAAGTTTGGTAAAGACTACTTTTTCTCCAACCTAATTTATTATTCAAATATGTAAATAAATATGTAAAATATGCAGACTAAGATCCACGCAGATTTCCAAAGAGATAAATCAGATTTAAGAACCTGACTGTTTTTGAGAATCTCCCATTAATCCGCTGTTGTGGAAAAATAATTGGGCAGATAACCAAATGGCCGTATAGGTTGGTAGTAGGGTATCCCTAGCCCAGCACCCTGCCTCTGGGAGCTGCTGTGAGAATGGGACATCCAACTGCAGCACTGCTGTCAGCACTTGCTCCTCCAGCCCTCCTGTATCTCCAGCTCCAGGGGTCACCTGAGCCTGGTGTGGCCTCTTCCATAAACACCAAGGCAACTCTGAGACCTTGTCCATTTTCCCGCTTGAGCCATCTTATATGATTTGCATCCTCATCTTTAGGGCCAATGTCCCTTTTGTGCATTTAGACTTCATCATATGCTTTATATCTGGTCATCAAACAGCTCTATAGACTCTCTGACAGGCTTCTTGCCCCTGGTGTGTTGGCAAGGTTTGTTACTAGCTTTGATTCCCTCTGCAAGCTGCCCTCATACTATTTCTTTAGCCTGCTTTACCGGGTTTTCACATTCAGTGTGCCAGAACTTACGATCATGTCTGTTTTCTTCATTTAGATACAAGTTCAGCTTTTACAAGAATGTCTTCCTGTTTCTAATAGTCTTTTTTCTTTGTTTCGCCATGCCAGTTTCTATCTTTATTCTAGTCTTTCCTAACAAAGAGCATGCATTGGCTCTGGGATTTTTTAATAAAGGTCCTTCAGTAATTGCCATGTTCCCTGTCAGATTCAATTCTCTTAGCTTTCTCTCTTAGATGGTTTTCTTCGTTTGTGTGTGTGTGTGTGTGTGTGTGTGTGTGTGTATTTGGTAGGGGAAGTGCTAAAGCTAAAAAAGCCCCCCCTTTTTTTTTTTTTTTTTTTTTTCTTCCCTACATAGTTGTTCTTCACCTGCACAGTTCCTAATCAGATCCAGGGCACGTTCAGTACCAAAACAGCTGTTCTATTTCCTTCTGTGCTTCCTATCCAGTTGCTCCATTAAAAAAAAAACAAACAAACAAACAAAAAAACACCACTGCTGGCATTCACAAATCTCATTCCTTTTGCAGTCCTTACGTGACATTTATCCAGTGCAAAAGACAAGAGTGGGGGACTAGGGGGAAATGAAATCATGTTCTGGTTGTACTTGCTGCCCTCATCTTCCTGATCCCCATCAGTGTAAAAATTCAGTGCTACCGCCCTGGTCAAGTAACATAGATCCAATACTATATTTTTCCTATTCCTGTTCTTCCTAGGCACAGATTAAGAATATGGCTGGTTCATTATTTTTTTTTTTTTAAAAAAAAAAAGGATTTTAACCTGAGCATTCAAATGCAAACATACATGCTGTACATTGCACTTATATTTGAACGTTAAGCAAGCTCAGACAAAGTAAGAAGGCTGTTTGCATGGACAGTGCAGTTAAAACTCCCCAAGAGAGTAGAAGGTAAAAAACAGAAATTCCCCAGTCCATCTCCAAGCTAGCTGGAAAAGAAATATAAATGCAAAGCAGCACAACTCAGTTTTCATGCAGAGAAATCAGGAAATTGCATGATTATTATTCCTGTGCTTTTGTGCATTGACACCCTGAATAAATATAGAATACCACTAGATAAACCAGGATTTCTATTATATATTTGCAAAGTGAAAAGAAAATTTTCCTGCAAGAGTCCTGAATATAGGTTTCTTGACTTAAGTGTAACTTTTAAATGTCAAGAAACATGATGTCTTTAATTCCCCTGAAATATTTGTATTTTTAGAAATTAGAGTAAGAAAGATATTTACTGGTCCTGCTGAGCCACCTACTTAGATTCAGCTCAGATAATCTCTTTAATAAAACACATTATTTCTGGATGCTTGAGATCACTGTATAATCACTTCAAGCATACGCAAACTTAAATTCAGTCACTGTTAATGGCAATAGAATATTCTTAAAAGCTCATTTATTTAAATTCTTATTCTTAAACAAAGTGAATTTATCCAGTGGCAGAACTATTAAACAATTTTAGTCTTCTAAAATCAAAGGATTTTTATGGCTTGAGAAAAACCATTGTTAACCTTTACAGTAGTCAATCATATCACATTTCAAATTTGCCGAGAATGGGCAACAGAAAATAGACTGCAGCCTTAGATCATATTCTGTAAGAGATGGTTAAGACTTAACACTGAGCATCTCATGCAGCAATGCATTGTATTTACATATCATGTATTTAAATAAGGTAGTTTCTTTAGTAGCTCAAAATGGAGAATAAACCTAACAAATAAGTGCCACATTAACAAAGATTAACAGCTAAATTAAATTTGTTAACACTGTCAGAATGGAACAAATGTAGCATTTCTCACTCTTGTTTGCATTAGATTGGCAGCAGAGATTGCACTTACCGCGATTGTTACTACAGTGCGATCAGCAAACGCAGTCATAACTACCTTCTGGAGTATGTTCTCCTATGTAAAGGAAAATATTTATTGCTTTTCAAACAGCAAAAATTGCACTATAGACATATAGATAGAAGGGAAGCTTAAATAGCCACTGATGATTACATGCTTCTAATAATCCTTTGTTGCAGAAAGGAAAATCTATGTCAGAACTAATTCAGAGCTGGGTCTCCAGTCAGACAACAGTGCTTACTCCTGCCACCGCCCACCTGGTTCTGTGTTGGAGCTTCTGTGCAGTTGTGCTGTCTGCATAGAGGTCTCAGGCCCCCAAGACGTGACCTCAGTCATACAGCAAAGGAAATGAAAGGAGATCTAATTTACTGTTCTGCCAGGCTGCCTGCAAGCTGGCACTCTGCTGTGCCATCTCCACCCTGCTGGAAGCCCTTGGGTGTCCCAGCATGCTTGCGGCATCTCACACGAAGTGGTGGCAGGGATGAGCACAGGGGTGTGCAATAGTGGTGAAGTTACCTGAGATAGTCTTAACATAGACAGTTCTCACTATTCAGGCGTTCCACCACTGCTTTCTAGAAACACTGCTGCGTACCAAGTCCTGCCTAGAAATGTCACTAGCCGAGATACTCATCTTGGTAATCATTTGGTCTTCAGACACACAAACCAAGGGATGAGCTGTACACTTACCGTACCAAAATTCAAAATGCATTTTATCATGGCTGCATACAGTATAATATGCCACTTACTAGTACTCAACACAAACATTTTACAGAACTAAAGATTAGAGCTGTTGAAGTAAACCCCTTCAATTATATTCTTTACTCACAAAATACTGTAATTATAAAGAAGACTCAAGCACTTTTTATAACAACATAACTGAGGAGGAAAAAAAAAAAAAAGGCAAGAATGTACTCCTCTATTTGGCTGAAATCCAGCCAGTATGCTATTACTGTGTGGTTTAGCGTCTCCTCTGGTAATTTCAGGCAATTAATGCAATGACTTAGTATGGCTTTTTTATGTCTTTGTTTATCTCCTGACCCTTCACAAACCCAAATCATAGAATCGTTAAGGTTGGAAGGGACCTCTAGAGGTCATCTAGTCCAGCCCCCCTGCACACGCAGGATCACCTAGAGCACGTGGCACAGGACTGCATTCAAGTGGGCTTTGAAGATCTCCAGAGAAGGAGACTCCACAACCTCTCTGGGCAGCCTGTTCCAGTGCTCTGTCACCCTCACTGTCAAGAAATTTTTCCTTAAGTTCATGTGGAACTTCTGGTGTTTCACTTTGTGGCACCATTTCCTCTAGTCCTATCAGTGGCCACCACTGAAAAGAGGCCAGCACCATCCTCCTCACGGCCTCCCTTGAGGTACTTATAGACACTGATTAACGGATCAGATCCCCTCTCAGCCTTCTCTTCTCCAGGCTGAACAGGCCCAGCTCCCTCAGCCTCTCCTCATAGGGCAGATGTTCCAGGCCCTTGATCATCCTTGTAGCCCTGCGCTGGACTCTCTCCAGCAGCTCCACATCCCTCTTGTACTGAGAGGCCCAAAGCTGGACACAGTGCTCCTTCTTTCAAGCTTTCTGCCTTCCCGACTTGTCCTGTCCACCATGCTGGGGTAAAATTGTCTACTTGTCAACTTATCCTTCCCTGACCATCACAGCTGACTTTCCAAAGCTTTGTTTACTTTAGGACATCAACCTGCCAATAAAAATAACATGCTTCATTTTCCCAATGCAAACGGTGCTTAAGTAACTACTAAACCACTAATAAATATGGTTTAAAAAATCTTTAATTAACAGTGACTCAGAACTGCCTGGATTTGCAGGCACATCTGCAGTAAAAATTAAATTTGAACATTGTCACCCATATGTTTCACTTCACCTTAGCACTTGTCCTTCTCTCAGAAAAGAAATTGGAAACCTCCTGTATTTGGGTAAGCTCACCGTGGCCATGTCAATAGATGCTGTGGCTTCATCCATGATGAAGATGCTTGTCTTGCGCACAAACGCCCTCGCCAGGCAGAACAGCTGTCTTTGGCCTTGGCTAAAGTTTTCACCACCCTCTGTGACTATAGCATCTGGAAAGGACAGAGCAAAAACAGTGTTTATGGTGTGTTTGTGCAAGTGGGTACGAGAGGGACAGAACAGAGTAGAGTGTATGTTGGGAATGTCATGTCTCACTTTCTGCATAAAGATTTTCTAAATAACCTTTCCTAGGTTTGAAGCTACTGGTGACAGCAACTCTGCCTTTTTTTTTTCCCATCATTCAAGATGATCCACTCTTCTGTCTTGTGTGTTCTTTATATCTGTTAGACATCAAAGTAGCCAAGGGTGCTATCATATATTCCCAAGAACAAGTTCCTCTGGGACACATTTAGCCTAGGATGCCCTGTCAAAATGGCATCCTTCACTTTTTACCCTAAGGCTTTTGTCCTTTTTTTTTTTTTTTTTTTTTTTTTTTTGTTTTGTACTGCCAAGTGTTTCATACCTTGAAGCTGTCTTTCCCCCTTTTGAAATCTTCCTGGATTTGAGCACTGTACTCCAAAATGAAGAACAACATATTCTAGGTACTGATTTGTCTACACCTTATTTGAACTGACTTAAGCTATGAACCACAATACTTGATATCAAAGACTGAAATAAAATAGCTGTTTTACTGTTGACTTCAATAGATCCAATCGGTAAGGGAGTTAGATGGATCCAGCATTTTTGCCTGCAGGTCAAGCACATGCTTTTTGCCACCTATTATGAACATAAGAAGCTTTTTCTTCACCAGCAGTTGCTTTGTTAATAAATGGTGGATGTGAAACAGAAATGATGTAAACACTGGGAGCAATTTTCTCAAAAAGAAAAGTCTTATTACCGAGCCCCCCAGGTAGTGCTTTCACCACATGCTTGAGCTGGGCTATTTCCAGTGCTTCCCACAGCATGCTGTCAGTGCACTTCTTCTCAGGGTCCAGGTTAAACCTACAGTTATATGCGATTTAAAAATATCGGTCAGTGTCAACCTCTGCAACATACTTTGACTTCTACTGTGTTTAGAAACAAACTTGCAGATAATTGGAATTATATGCTAAATATTTGGGCCTGATTCTGATTTCCGACTGCTATCATGCCAGTCAACTCTGCAGACTTGGTACCATTCATACCACAGTAATTAATGCCCCAATTTGCCGTCTTCAGAAGGTGGAAGAGCTTCCTCTTCTGCGGATATTTTGCATTTTCATATTTTTTGTTCTGAATAAGCTGAAGAATGGTGCTTTACAACACTGAAGAGAAAGAGATGTGACTGTACCTTTAAATTAACATTCATTTTAACAAGTGCCAAAATCTCTCCTTTTAAATCCAGTATGTCCCTTTATTCTATAGAAATGCTAAGCAGAATTATCAGACTTCATCCTGAATTATGAAATGCAAAGTATTCACTGTAACAGAACAAATCTTGTATAAATCAACAGCTAAATGCCATTTTAGCTTGCTGTGGCCCCAAAAAGGTAGCCTCAAATGTTACTTTCATAACATTAATAAACAGAATGATAATCAAAAAAGAGTCATTAGTGAGACTTTTGTTTACTTTTTACTGCTACTGTATATCCTTGCATGACCAATATTGGCCTAAATAGAGTCTCAAGTATTTAAAATAACAAAGCAAAGGTAGTCAGACACCTTGCCCTCTGACATAAATGAATCATACTCTATTGAGGAAAGCACATAATCTTTGCACCTGTATTACTCTCGAATCAGCAAATTGCAGTAGTCTATAACTCATTTTCAAATGAACTCTGAAGATGTGTATGTACAACTTTAGATCATGTAACTTTAGATCATGTAACTCCATTTCAGGATTACACTGTTCTTTTTTTCAGGTAAATACCACAAATGAGGGAAGGAACACTTGCTGGAAACTCTGTGGAGCTCTTTTCCACTACCTTATGGTTCTTTTTTTCAGGTAAATACCACAAACGAGGGAATGTGGAGCTCTTTTCCACTACCTTATCCTCTCAGAGGAGAAGAAAGAGGAAAACAAAAAAAAAAAAAAAAAAAAAGAGGAGAAGAAACGATTTCTGATCTCACACACAGATGAAGGAATGGCTCAAAGATCGGAAAAGAGGTGATGGGACGTCTAGGCTAAAATATCCTGTACTACCTCTAGTCTTTCTCATATTAGTTTATTCCCTCCCTTTTTCCTACATTTTTTTGGTCTCTGCTGTCTTCTGCTCACTTTTTAAGGCAGAAGGATGCAGATGTTTGGGTGACAAACATGTAAGAAAAAAAGCGACCAAGGGGCTACACCGATATCCTCAGCCTGAAGCAATAAATAACTTTTCCTACTTTGCAGGCATTGAATTCTGTCCTGCCAAGAGCGCTGTTCAGGCCCTGGGAAGGGCCTCAGGCATGTAAAAAGCACAGACAGAAGGAAGTATCCTCTCTGCTCAATAAGGAAGATAGGAATTGAACATTTTGCTATTGCCAGTTCTGTACAAGTCATTACATCGGATAGGCAGACCATTTTTTATTGCTGGTGCTTATTGCTTACCGGATTGTGCCGCTGAACAAGATCGGATCTTGGAGAATGATTGACAGCCTGGATCTCAATGTCTGTAATGGGAGCTTAGCGATATCAATGCCATCAATGATAATCCTTCCTATTCAAAAGAAAATGAGTAGACTTTATCATGATGGGTAAAAAAGAAAATGGGTAGACTTTATCATGGATAGACTTTATCATGACGCACAGCTGCCAGCAAAGACAGGGCTTACTTTCAGCTTGTAAGAAACTGCAACATCCCTTTATTCACTAATGGGACACATTTTGGTTAAGCAGTGAACACAGTCCTCTTGAGATTAAGCCTCATTTGTGAAGAATATATTTGTAAATTTCAAAAATGATTATATACACAACTTGTCTGCTTGACCATTACGAACATCTAGCAAGCAAGAAAGAGGTTATTTTAGCCAAGGTCTACTTAAGAGGAGAAACAGTCATTTCAGAGAGCCAAATTAATATCAAGAACTTTGAAATTTCATCTCTAAGTACAACTGTCTGTCTTTGCATATGGGGCTGTGGGCAGTGTGACTGGGAAAATGAGGCTGCAACTTTTGGGGTGCAGAGGAAGACAAGCCATGAGACATGGTTCATGAAATAGGAAGTCCAAGTCATTGTGTCTTCCGGGCCTAGCCAGTCCTAGCTGTGCCTTATGTGCAGGCATTTCCTAATATTTAAATACTTTCCCCTTTTACACTTGGGTTCTACTGTCACAATTTAACAGCAAAAAAAGGCTGTCCTCTCCTGGACTTCTGTCATGTAGAAGGAAAATTTTTATTGATCCAACTTCCTAAGGGCATAGCTGCTAGACAACAAATGATACTGCATTTAAGGCTAGAGAGAATATCTCACAGATGCAATAACTGCAGTTGTTAGAGAAAGTATCAAAACATCTTCAGGAGCTAAGCTTGACCAACAGGAAAAAGTGCAATCTTACCCTCAAAAGTGTCAACCATTCTGAAAAACGCAAGAGAGAAGGAGGATTTGCCACTGCCTGTTCGACCGCAGATCCCAATCTGTGACACAGAAAGCAGAGGAACTCTGGTAAGTGTAACTGGATAATTTCCGTACTTGACACCTGAGAGGAGTGGGTGGAGGAGCTGTTGCCATAACAGAGTTCTTTACGGGTCCGAGACACTTAGGGTTAAATTAAAGCCAATGTGTGCTCACAGCAGGGCACTGCAATATTGAGTAGAGGGAGCTGTTGCCATAACAGAGTTCTTTATGGGTCTGAGACACTTAGGGTTAAGTTAAAGCCAGTAGAAGAAAAAAACGTGAGTGACACTCAGGAGCAGAGAGATTGCTGGGCAGGGCTGCCAACTTAGGATCTAAGAGAATGGTGTTGATCAGGAACACAATAGGACTATGGAGAAGAAAAAAAAAAAAAAAGGAAAAAAAAAACACGAGAGAAGAGACAGGAGTAAGGACAGGACAGCCACATGGTTGCAGGCCTAGCACAGGAAGGAGGCACTGTCAACTGTGGCACTGTGTGCTCACAGCAGGGCACTACAATATTGAGTAGAAATGAGTGGTCCTAACTTGGTCTCACTGTAACATACTCCTAGGGACACCAAACTAAAAGAGAAAAAGAAAAAACAAACAACTCCCTCCCCCCCACCAACACACTTTCTAGTGCACTAAGTTAACTTTTTCAGGAAAAAAATATGGAATCTGGCCACTAAAAGATACCACAGTATGATTTTTTTTTCTCCAAATCCGCGGTTTCTATAATGTGCTAGTCCAAACAGAGCCGCTCTAAATCACTGCAGTTCTTTACCTTTTGTCCTGGAGAGATGTGGGCATTGACATGCTTCAGGACTGGCTTTAAGTTGCTGTCATAACGGACACTGAGATTCTGGATTTGGATCTCACCTCTGTCTGGCCAGTTCTGGGGAATCTGTGAGGGAGCTGTACCAGAAGTATAGGGGAAGGGAGGGAAAAAAAATAAAGCCAACCACCTTTCATGATAAATTCATCAGCTCATTAAGTGATTTAGTAGTTATTCATGGTCATACACTGCAAAATCATTAAACTTTCAGCAAGCTCTTTCTGCATGCTGCACTCACAAAGGAGCCCTTCATAATTTTCAGCTTCTGTTTTCAGAAGGCCATTGATTCTTTTCACTGCACCCAGCTGGATCTCCATGTCAGCCAGGTTACGAACCATCCAGTTCAGATAATTAGACACCTGAAGTAAAGCAAATAAACTACTAAATTCCATATTTTCAGCTGGCACACAAATAAATGAGTAAGTGTCATAGCATCATTTGATCAGCATGCAGCTTATATTCCTTCACAGCAACACTTGTTCAGCCTTACTAAGATGAACTTGTGAATGAAGCTTATGCTACACGCCAATAGAGTGACAATGACAACTTCATGTCAAATTTCCTAACTGCAGTGCACAGATACTTTGGTGCTATGGAGTTCTCTACCAACATGAAAGAGGGGAGGAAACAGTACAGACGGACAGATTAAAAGACATAATCTTAGCAATTAAAAATATTTGACGATCTAGAATTATGTACTGAGGCATAATTACAATTGATTCACTGAAACAAAATTATTCTTCACAATGATTTTTTGCCATATTTTGTTGACATATTTGAACAGTTATTTCAATGTATACTTTATCTAAAAAAATGAGAAAAGCATACGCACAAATTATGTCAACCATTTAATGTGAATTGAAGTTAATATGTGGTTTCAGGGATATTACAGTACCCACTATAAATGCACACTTCGATCTTCCTTTTCATCTTTTTGCCCTGAAGAATTACAAAAGAAAGTTTGGGGGAAACAAAAAGGGTCCCAGATTCTTACCATAAGAGCATAGGCTAGTCCCAAGCCTACAAGTCCTGAGGAGAGTTTATTATACAGGCAACTGGTAATAGAAGTGACAGCAGCTATGAGTACCACACATGCTCCAATGTACTCCTGAAGGAATATGAATAAACTCCATCACAATATATCTACAATGGTGAAAACATTCTGAGTAACTTTATATACTGAATATCAAACCCTTTGCACAGTGTGAAACACAGGCAGAAATTACACCCTGACCCTGGCTGAGGACCCATTCTCATCATGTTTAGCATGGCTGTGCTGTCTGGCAACATTATGGCACGCAGAGGAAATTTCACCAACACTCCTCTGGAAAAGTCAATACCGGTATCCTGAGCATTTACTCAAGCCGCTGTTAGCTGAAGGAGGTGAGGAGAGTGCTCACGCAGTCCTCTCTGTGAGCAGCGCCATGTCTGGGGCACAGCAACTGGTGCTAGGTGCTTATCCTCTGCATCTGTTCCAACAACCTATGCCTACCTATGTACAAGGTGACTTTCTGCTGCCTTAATTTAAGTCATTAAAATAATTCAGATTACCACAAAAAAGTTTTGAGTAAAACCATATAGTGGACTAGAAAATTAACTCTGTAGGATGGAAATCTCTCTCTTTTTGTACTGTGTTTAGTGCTATAAGCATTGATCAAAACTAGGGACTTTAGATGCTCCAGAAGTGAAACTATGGAAGGATAATGAAGTTTCATTTAAGTCATACTCAGTAGTGGAAGTAGCAAAAGGTACTGGCTACCTCCAAGTCCAAAATGGAGATATGAAGCAACAACTGCAGGCTATGGGGAAAATTCACACCTGATGCATTTTTTAATATGTAGGACAGCTTGGGTGCATTTTTTACAGAGATATATAAACACAGAGTAAAAGTGCAGCCTCAAAACACAGATGAAGCTGTGTAACTGTTGGGTTCCTCATCAGATTGCTTGGAATACAGTCAATTCTTTGTGATTCACAAACATAATGTACTTGCCATGCGGACTTCCAGCCAGCGATTGGCAGCTGTAAGAAAAAGGGAAGCAATATTGTTGGAATCTGTGTATTCGAGAAGCTTTTGTCGAAATTTAGCTTCATACCTAAGAAAAGGAAAAAAAAGAAAAAAAGTAAGTCTTGGGGTATGAGAGAAATAAGAAGTAAAACTTAATTTAGAGGCCATAAGCTCATATGGAACTCGACACTGGGTCTAAATTGCCATGCCATCTGTGCAGAGCGCAGTCACCCTTAGATTTGTTTTTGATACATGAAAACTGTATTTTGAAAGTAAGTACAGGAGTAAGCGGATGCTACTGCACTGATGAAATTCCATATGGCATTTATGGGTCATGCTCTTTTCTAAACATACACTATTACATGTAACTGTGTGAGAAAGAGAAGAGAAGCCTGAAATGGAAACAGAAATTTGTAAGTTTGTTTGACTAAGAAATAATGTATGTATTTGTGAAGTAAGTATCAGTGCTGCAGAACATAATCCTTCTCGTTATAGACTAAACTTGTAACACTATAACTTCTCATATAAACTAAAATTTTATAATTTATATTATTGCAGAGCTTGGAAACTGTAATCAGCTAAAACACATAGACACAAAGTATGTCTGGGCATGGTAGCTCCAGCTGTTAATTAAATATTTGTTTGTCCTTACCACTAAACAAATGGAGCATTTTAGAAGACATAAAAAACACATGGTGCAGCAAAAACAGTAGACTGTAAAAGAAATATTTCCACAAATAAGCGAGCCATGGATTATAAAATAAGATTAAAGGCAACAGCTTCATGAATGAAGTCCGCAGAGAGCCCAGTGGCCCCGCTACCCCTACTTTGGGATCTTGGCAAGCACACCAGTCAGCTACTCATCCCTTTTTGCTGGCACGTTTATTTGGATAGCTATAAATTAAAGCGTTGCTAACAATAAAGTGGATCAATAGTGATGTCTAATGATAAAGGGGAAGGGAAAAGAGCCTTTTTCAGAGTAGTAAAAATACTTGAATGCCTGAAGACCTCGTTTATGCACCCAAAAGTTTGCCCCCTTCTCCCACCATTTTACATTAGCCAGGTCAACCACATAGATAATCTTTCCTTTTCTTTCTTATATCCATAAAATACTATGGTTGCAACAACTACTACTTATTTATAAAACAGAGCTCTCCTTACACTGATATGAGAGAAAGATGTGGCCATGTTTTGTTTTAGGACCATGTACATAATTTAGAGAAACTTTAGAATTTGTCCGCTACAGAATATCCTCCTTTGAATACAGTATAATGTAGTTACTACTGTATGTAAATAATCTACGCTTTTGCAAAAAGGAAAAAAGTGCCCAGCTGGCTATGTGTGGGAGTATTCCAGCTGTTGACAACTTCCACAGCGTGCACATCTACCACGAGCAACGCAGACCGGCTCCCAAAGGCTCGGGCTGGCTCTGAGCACACTGGAGCGGCCTGGAAGGGGCTCCTGAAAGTGAGTGCTACCAGAGTGCAGCATCTAAGCCCTCGTAAGCCCAGCCTTGCCCCAGCACTGATGACCCGAGGCACCACACAGAGAGGGCTGCACTGCTTCTAAAATGAGTTGCATCCCATTTCACCTTGCTATCTCCACCCAGCGAGGAGCTATGCGAGGCAGATAAGCCTTAGAGGGTGTGAGGTATGCACCAGGAGCCAGTCACGCATGTGCAAGTGGAAGGGGGACACACACAGAGTTAGTGACCTGCAGAAATCATAATTTCTCTTCAGAAGGTGTCCCCAAATCACCAGTCCTTGCAGAAACCTTCATAATCGCTACTTATCGAGTAAGTAACACCAATGCTGTCTGAAGCACCACACAACACCTGCAAGCTATAAATCAGGCCAAGACTTGGGCTGAAGATGTATTTATAGCAGCAGCAGCAGCCATCTTCCTGATCTCCTTCCTGGATTTTTTTTTTT